AAGATATTTATGAAAAACACCCCAAGAAATGAAAAAGATTCTGAAGAATTGTGCATCTATGCCCCTGTGGACACCGGGAGCAACCAGAGTACCTTCTTGCAAAAGTAAAGATACGTATTTCGAGGAAACCACTCAAGATGAAGGCACGTGAAGTCAAAAACCAACTCCGAGCATGAGAAGTGAGGTTGTGCCAAAAACTGACAAACGGAGATAAGACGAAATAGGAAAATGACAGAATAGGGAAAAGACGAAATAGCGCATAGTGTCCGAAAAACGAAAAATGCGAAAATGACTCGGTCCTCAAAGGAAGTTGTCAATTCACATGAAAGAGTCTCAGAAACCAATTCTGAGTACTTGAGATGACACTAAGCGACATGAAACAGAGCTCAGAAAAGAAAATTAAACGAAAAAAATTCATTCGTAAAATTTCAGGAAAAAGGAAAGGAAGGCAAATGATCGGGTCGTTACATTATCAGACCATGAAGTGGATTGAATGGTTTCATTTAGACCTTGAATTAAAGAAGAGAGGCTGGCTTCTATTGATCCTGGTATAGAACAACAATCGTCATTGATACTGGACTAAGGACTTTCATCAAATTTAGCATGAATTAATTCAACAACTTTGGAAGATCTGAGATTGTAATATCTGAAAGCCTTGCTTTTGATAAAGTATCCCAAGAATATTCCTTCATCAGCTTTTGCAGTCAAATTTCCCAAGTTGTCTATATGATTGAGAATAAAACAACTGCTGCCAAACACCTTGAAGTAATGAACTGTTGCAGGCCTTCCATACCATAAATCATAAGGAGTTTTAGTTGAATTTGGTCTGAGAAGCACCCTGTTGATAATTTACACTGCAGTGCTTACAGCTTCTGCCCAAAATCCCTTAGCAAGACCTTTTCAAGCAACATACTTCTCCTAATTTCCTAAACAGACCTATTCTTTCTTTGTACAACCTCATTTTGTTGAGGAGTAGCTACAACTAAAAACTCTTTCTTGATACCCTTTACATCACAATAGCTTTCAAAATCTCTTATTGTAAATTCAGAGCCAAGGTCACACCTGAGCTTTTTCACAGTGTAACCCTTTTCATTTTCACCTAGATTTACAAACTTGATAAAGTTAGAAATAGCTTCAGCTTTTTCTTTCAAGAAGTAAACCCACATTATTCTGCTGAAATCATTAATGAGAAGCATAAAGTATTTACTTCCACCAATACTAGTAGTTCTAGTAGGGCTACAGAGATCCATGTGTATCAAATCAAGTGCTTTGGAAGTGTTGATTTATTTGGAGGGGATTGAAACTTTAGTTTGTTTTCCCTATTGATAGGCTTTACAAATATAATTGTTACTGAAGTTTTGATCAGGTAAGCCTTTCACAGCTTTTAGCTTCAGGATTTTGGATAGATTTCTTGAATGAAGATGACCTAATCTCTTGTGCCATAGTATAGATTCATCAAATGTGGTTAAATTGCATTGAGTAGCTTCTTCATTTCCAGAGGATCTACAAGCTTAGAATAGAACCTTTTCAGATTTAATGTCAACCACATTGCATTTTTCTTTGTCAAAGCACACCTTCTTTCCATTGTCACACAATTGGCTGACACTTAAGAGATTATGTTTAAGGCCTTCAACAAGTAGAACTTCTTTAATATCAGGCAGTTCTGCAGTTTTGCTTATAGTGCCAATGCCTATAATTTTTGCTTTTTGATTATCTCTAAAGATCACATTCCCACCCTCAAAATTCTTCAGAGAAACAAACTTGGAACCATCACCTATTATGTGTCTAGAGCTGCCACTGTCAGCATATCATTTGTTATAAGAGTTACCTGCCTTGAAGGCTATATACACCAACATACTCACTGCATTCATCTTCTTAGGCATCCACATCATCTTGGACTTCACAAGAGATCTTTTGCTTTTGACCTTCAAAACTTGAGTCAAGTAAGATTGCTTCACATACATCTTGGTAACTTCGAAGTTTCTGATGGATTATGTAACAAAATCACTTCCATTCAACCTTAAGCTATTGTAGGTGTTGTTAAGTATATCATACGTTAATCTCAATGGTTTTACAGTTGGAAACTTTGCATACACCTCACCAGTGGTGTCCTTAACAAACACATAGTGGTTTTGTTTAACTTTGGTTACTGTGTCACAGATGTAACCAATTCCAGTCTTCTAAATTTGCTTTGTAGATTACTTCAAAATCTCAGCCATATTCATAGACCTTTCTTTAAGAATCAATGAGAGTTCTTCTCTACATCTTTTTATAGACCATTCAGTATAGGATTGAGACTTCATTAGAGTTAAGAAGATAAGAGAAACTGAACACAAGGTTGACAACTTAAGATTGAAGTGTTTAACAAGAAGTTGTTTGGATTTCTGCAATTCAGAACTGAGGGCTTTCAGCTGAGACTTTTGTTAATTGCACTTCACAGCAAGTCTCTCACATTCTTTAAGTATTTCTTCAATCTCTGAGTCACTGTCTAACTATCTTCTTCAACTTTAGTTGTTGTCTGTGGTATTTCAAGAATAACCATAAACAAACACTCATTTTCTTTTCATTCTTCAAGTTTGTCTTATTCTGAAACTGAATCCCAATCTAAAATAAGAGCATTCCTTCCAAATCTTCCCTTGAAGTTTCCCCCTTCTTTCTTCCTTTGGTTTTGCCCTTTTGAAGTTAGACAACTCGAGACATAATGGCCAGGCTTGCCACATCCATAACAAGTTAGATTTTGGGATTGAATTCTCTTCTTAAACTTAAATTTTTTGAACTTCTTTGACAGAAAGGCCACTTCATCCTCTTCAAGATCCTCTTCTTTAGACTTTGGTTCAGATTCTTCTACAACTTCTTTGGCTTTAAGTGCAGCTTCTCTTCTTTGAACAGTTAGAAATCCAATTCTCATTTCATAGGCTGTAAGAGAAGCTTGTAGATCATCAATCTTTATTTAAGATAAGTCTTTATCCTCAAGAATTGTAACCTTTGCATTGAATCTAGGTGTAAGAGACTTAAGTATCTTCTTGCAAACATCAGAGTCTTTAATGTCTTCACCAAGGGATTTCATGTTATTGACAATGTCATTGATCCTAAACAAATATTGAGCCACAGTTTCCCTTTCCTCCATCGTACAAGCTTCATATTGAACTTTATAGAGCTGAATCTTGTTTTCTTTAATAACAGTACTTCCTTCATGAGCAGCCTAAAAAGAGTCCCACATTTCTTTAGCTGTCTTGCAATTCTTGACTCTAGTAAACTCTTGCTGCTTTAAAGTACAATAAAGGACATGTTTGGCTTTACCATCATTAGCTACAACAATTTTATCAGCTTCAGAGGGATTATCATGACTAAGAATCACAATACCATGCACAGCAGCATGCCAAACATTAAAAAAGTGAGACATTAAGAATGCTTCCATTCTGATTTTCCATAAATCATAGTTCACACCACTGAACCCTGGAGCTTTGTATGCAACTTGGCTTTCATCCATTGCTAAGATCAACTGTAGGCTTACTAGAACCTTATACAGCAGACCAAAGCTCTTATTCCAATTGTTAGACCAAGAGGGGGGTAAATTGGTCAAAACCTTTTCTTATATAAACTTCACAACAATCAAAATAAGTAAGCAATAGGCAATGCGACAGTATTTATAAGGAAACCCTCTCAATTAGGGAAAACCTTGGTTCTTGGCTTATGCCAATTCAATCATCCACTAGTTATAAAGTAAGTTGTTACACACTCAGTTGTCTCACTCTCTACACACACCCTTGTCATAGAAGTAGACACTAGTTTTCACACACTCTACTCACACACTAGCTCAAAACAGTGTAAACACACCCCCCTGTCCTCGGCAACCTTGCCTGGACCAAACAAGCTCTTAAAGCTCACCAAATATACCATAGTAGATGTAAAACAATATTAACAAGTCCTTCCTACAATTCAAATGGTTTAAACAGCTCAAAACTCAAAGATACAACCTTAAAACCTCAATCTACTACAGTTAGGGTTTGAGGGTTAAAAGGGGAATTTTCTCTTGAGATCAACTCAACAGTACCTTATATAATATTTGTTCACTGTAGTACTCATGATCATAGCTTTAAACAATGAAGTATAGCATGAGAATATCACAAAGTCCATTATAGCCTTTGTTTCAGCAAAACACAACTTAAGTCTTAGGATTTGAATACTGAAAATCACAGCTAACCAATTTTTTATCATAATGCCAACTTTAACGGTCTTGATTCGTCAAAATATACTTGCTAGTAGATTCAAAACTCATAAAATAGCAAGGTATAGTCAATCAGTGCTTGAATCCATGAATAAACCAATAAATAAGCGTAATAGGTGAATTCACTGTCCAAATTTAATTTCAGCATGTTTTCAATAAAACTTTATACTTAGCAAGTGTAAAAAGATGAATTATACTTGTGTCAACCCTTAGAATAGACCACAACACCTTGGAACTCAAAAACACTACTCAGTCCAGCCCTTGTAGTAGTAAAAATAACAGCAACAACATCTCACTACGAGAAAAACAGTTTTTTACCACACTTTTTTTACCACGATTTTTTAAAAAACCGTGGTACAAGGCCCTTTCTACCACGGTTAATCAAAAACCGTGGTAGAAAGTATATTCTTTTACCACGGTTCTAAAATAACCATGGTGGAAAGTATATTCTTTTACCACGATTATAAAATAACCATGGTAAAAGGTGAATTATTTTAATATAATTTAGATGCTTCTTTCTACCACGGTTATTTTAGAACCGTGGTAAAATACTTTTTATCACGGTTCTAAAATAACTGTGGTAGAAAATGAATTTATTTCACTTCCTTCCATCCCTCTTTCTACCACGGTTAATAGAAAACCGTGGTAGTAATTTAGTTTCACCCGCTCCTACGCGGGTTTTATTCCTGTCAGTTTCTTAAAAAAAATTTAAAAATATATATTTTATATACAAAAATATATTTACTCACACGTGTCCACACACATACAATATTTCAGGGAAAATCATTTCAACCTCCCCAATCGCCTCCATCTCTAGTATCATTCTCAACTCGGCCCTCTCTCTGCCTCTACAACTGCAAAGTACAAAATCTACAAGAATCAGAACCCATATCGGCATATCAGATATGATTTTGAATAACGACGATGATGATGATTTTGAATCACCCACCCACAAATTCCAGATCCACCGCAAACCCTCAAGCGTCTCCGGCGAGGTTGCACAACCGAATCCATATCGGCCACCCAAAAGCGGGAGTTGTGGCGTAGTGTCGATGAAGAGATTGTTCAAAATATCAAAACCCATATCCTTCAGCTTCCATCGCCCGTTGTTCCAGTTTGGGTTGGCCGTTCGCAAGCTTCAGCCTCTGATCCGCGCGCTGTCTCTCAACTCTCAAGCCCTCTCTCTGCAACTGCTAACTTGTATGTATTGGGTTTTTTTTTTTTTTTCTAAATCAATTAATAAATTTCTGTAATTCTTGTTTTGCAAACTAAATCCTATTAAGTGAAATTTTTAGTGCAAATCATTTTGTATAATGTTCTAACCCATTCCCTTTTTTGACTGCTTGTACGTATTTGATTGAATTCTGGATACAAAAAAGCAAAAGGCATCATCAAATTCAATGACAAAAGGGGTCCAACTTGCTCTTGAAAATGATAAACAAAAGGTGAATTTTAAACTCTAAACTACTTCCTATATGAAGTCTAGAATTTTTACTATACATCTTTTCTCAAACAAGCAAAGGTTTAAAATGATACCTTATATAGAAACAGATTTAGTTGGCCAATCTGCTTAAATAATGTTTATTATCAATTTGTAATACTGAAATAAATTGAATGGGTGATTGTGCAACTATTTTTTTTTCCCCCTCGTACAAATTGTGTGACAAGCTAGGGTGACTATTATTTAGAAGACCGGATGCCAGATGGCATTCTTGTTCTCATACTTTCTTTTTTGACCTTCAAGGAAGTAACGGCTACTAGTGTCCTATCAAGTCGATGGAGGTATCTGTGGACACATTACTCTCGTCTTGATTTTGATGCCCCAGAAATGATTAGTGAAATATATTGGACAATGGACGAGGAAGTTGTTGAGGCTGAAAGGGTGAGATATGTCAAATGGGTGAATTGGGTTGTGCAGCTGTATAGGGGCTCAACTATTGAAGAATTCAGGGTTCGTTTTTCATTTAATTATCTCCACTTAGGGTTTATTTTGGTGTTATATTTTCTTTAATTGATTTGCATGTACTTGAAATGTAGTCTTCCAAAAGGACTGGGAAAAGACAACAACGGGAGCATCAATTGCATGGCCTATCAAGTACATCAAAATTTGTAAGTTATATGGTCTTTATGTTTGATAAAATTCTTTTATGATTGCACATTTTTAATGCTTTTTATATTCATACTCAGGGGGGTCACATGCCTTTAAGTGACCAATTTTGTGGTGTATCTTGAACTTTATTACCTTATTGGTACATCAGCCCGTGTGGAGGTCATTTTTATTTCTTGTTTTAAAATATTGAAAGCATGGGAGTATGGGATCATCGTATGTGGAGGTTTTGATTGATTGTTGTGGAGGAGAAATTGTTGATATGTTGTTTAAGGAGTTAATGCAAGTTGGCAACTTAAATTTTTTTTATGTATTAGTTGTTATTCATATTATATGCATATGATTGATGTAAGAAAAAAAAGAGGTGGATTAATTACCTTGAAAAAAGAGTGCTATAGTCACATTTGTATGCAAATCAAAAGAAGGAAACTGAACTCCAAAACATCTTTAAAACTGATCCAAATGACAATTTCTGCTATCTAAAACAATGCTAATAGACATGATGGTAGTAAGATAGCCTGAATGCACAATTTAACAGATGTAATCTGCAAGGGATACATAGGACCAAAGGAATCACCACCACGAACAGAAGAGTGATATGGTGGTGATCAGTAGCACCACCACAAGGTCTATATAATCATACACAAAAACTCGTATTGTATAATTTTCTCAGTGAACCTAGAACATGTGCCGATCATTTCGTTTAGGCATGGTAAACAAAAGAACCTAAGGAACCATAACATATATGCAATTGTTCTTCTTAAATTACTGATTCTCCTTTCTGTTGACATTATATGTTGATTAGACAATGTTTATTTCTTTATTTTTGGTAAGTTAAGTAAGTTGTATTAAGATAAAAGCATGTCCAAACAAGCTCTATTAGAGGAGGGAGGAACACAATCTGTTATAGTCAAGCAATAACACATGGCAACAAGTAGAATAATACAAGCACTAGCAACTAGAGACAAATGGCCCTTACCAAAACAAAAAAAAATACTAGAGACAGATGGACTTACAATAGACATATGATACATTTTTGTGACATGTATCATTAAAAAGCTGTGTGAAATTTTTTATATTGTATTTGAACTATATAACCATATCCTAATTAACGTGAAAAAAAAAATTAAAATAAAAAAAATAAATAAAAAATAGAACATATATAAAGACTTAGCTCCTCCTTTTAAATACAAAAGTTGAGGATTCGAGTCCCCAACGAAACAAATAGGGATGTATAATTAACCTACCGAAAAAAATATATTTGTATTATGAAAAAACACAAATAAAACTAAGATATTCCTTGATTCATATGATAGAAAGAAAAAAAAAAAAAAATCCTACATAATCGCTAAATGTGATACATACGTTCAAACAAATTGAATCTTATTATTATTTTTTGGCACATTTAACAAATCATTCCCTAAATATGAAGACCAATCTTATATTTTGAAAAGGCTAGATTTGGAAAGAAGACGTTGAGAAGCAAACATCATTTTCTGGTTAATAGCTCTACTCTAAATCAAATGTCTGGAAGTAGAATATTGAGAAATACCACTTTCCAACAATGAAATAACTCGTTGGAACAAAACAAAAACTACAAAACAAGCAACAAATTTCATTCCATCATAGCAACTCCCCCAGCAGCCTTCATCTTCTCTATCACAGCATTTGCCTCCTCTTTGGCCACTCCATGTTTGAGCAAAACAGGTACCTTTTCAACCAGGTCCTTGGCTTCCTTCAATCCCAGGCTCGTAAAAGCCCTGACCTCTTTGATTACCTTGATTTTTGCAGCAGCATCAAATTTCCCTAACTTCATATCAAATGCAGTTTTCTCAGCCTTCTTCTCTTCAGCCTTTGTAGATTCAGTATTTATCCCTCCCAGGGGACCCAAGTCCATGCCATCAACTGAAATTGGTTGCATCTTCGGATGCCTAAGTGTATCTCTGAGAGTGGGACCGATCTGAACACGTTCTTCAGGGAGTAGGGAAGCAATTCTTTCGGCAAGCAGAATTATATTTTCAGAAGGTGGAGTTTTAGGGCCATATGGATCATAGACGGGTGGATATTTGGAACTTTTAGGCTTGGCCTTGGGATCTCTTGGAACAAAGTCAGGTTGAAAGGAAAGGAATTGCAAAGGCCCAGTTATTTCAGGAAGAGTAGGACGTACACTAGTGGTTCTGAAGAGTGCAATGAACTTCATGGTTTTGTTCACTAGTGAGAACATAAAGTAATTAAATGACGATGGCTAGAAAGTGGCGTTTTAATCATGTAGTTTTAGCATTCTGTGTAGCTGAGAGGTCTTCCTTCACTTCGCCGTAATGATTTGAGAGGAATCTTACCTGAAAAAGGGAATAAAGAAGGCATAAACAACACTCCTCTCCTCCCAAAACCCTCACAAGAAAGGCCATTACTTGGTGCTGATCTCGCTGACGCGAGATGTTAGGAGATGAACATAACTGTTAAAATTATTTTGCATAATTTTTTGCTTTCACATCATATCGTTTGTTATCCAGATCATTGCACCAAGCAATGACTCCTTCTCCTAACCTCTCGAAATGGAAAAAAAAGAAAAATCAAGAATGAAATTTTGGCTATCCAGTAGTTAATGCATCAACAAATACAACAAAACCCACTTCTGGTCTTGGTGTGATCAACTAGAATTCCACTTTTTTCTTTTTCATTGTTAACTAGCACAAATGACAATTGCAAAGTAAGAAATTGTAACACCCAAAATACTTCTTGATCTAAGCCGCTTTCCCAATTTATAAGAACATTGGCAAACAGTTAAAGTTGAAAAAACATTTTGAAACGGGCATTCATTCAAACATATCGCGTGCAACCCATATCATGCAATAATAAATCACAAAAGATTAAAAATAAATCATACATAATATGCAAAGTTTTATAATGCTAGTTATATAGTAACATTGTCCAAGTAACAAGCACCAAAAAAAAAAGAAAAAAGAAAAATAGCAAGAAGCTTACTAGGTAGTAAAAGACGCATTCAACAAGATGAGTGTTGAACAAAAGGTAAAGATTCCATTTTATCTTCTTTCTATTTTTCCCTACTACTTCACTTTCCTTTGTAAGGTATCTCTTTACTGAAGCAATTATGCCTTGGTAGTAGTAATATCTGTACTACTTTCGAATTATGACATAGTAGATAAAAACTTTATATGAATCTTGCAATCTAGTAGTAATGGTAACTTTTCATCTTTTAAAATAAAAGTTTGATGGTTGAAGTCTGTGTAGGATGCTTGTAAAATTCATAAATGAGAAAAATGTTGCTAATTCATCCATTGTACTCATTTACAGTAAACAAGTTTTTATGTAGCAATCCAAAGTTACCTCCCAGTTATGATGCTGATAAAATTTCTTTCAAAAATTTATAGTAGTAGGGTCATGTAAGTGAATGATTATTGCCCAAAAAACAATTTTAAAGGAACTGATAAATAAGGTATGAGCATTATCCATGCCAAGCCTCTTTCTTGTATATACATACATACATAGAGAGTTAGATCAAATGCTACCTATTCCATATTCTAATAACAGTTCAACCTTATTATGACTTTAGTATGTCCTTGACAAAAGGATTCCATTCATTCTAAAGCTGTTGATAATGCAAGCAAAGTGTGACGGCCCAAGTTTTGTAAATACGGTGCGTCAATGATGACCAAAAGATGACCCGATAACAGATACGAAATGTGGAAGCGAAAGGTGAAACAACGGTCTCCAGAGATACAATTCGTCTCTAAGACACCAATGTGATCCTCAATGAGGTCATGGAACCCAAAGGAAAACAAATGCGAAAGTGTCGTTTCAAAAACGGACAAAAAGGAACCTAGGGGCAAAATGGTCATTTTGCAAAAAAGTGGATTCAAGTGCTATCGAGCACACCACTGGGAAGACAATGAAAAACTAATCATGATGGACTCAAGAATTTTATTATTCGGATTCCGGACAAAGGAGAAACGACAAAATAAAGAAAAACGAGCAATAAAGTTAAAAGGGGTAAACTGGTAATTATCCATAAATATCTGGGTGCAACCGAGCACACCATTGGATAGATAATGAAAAATTAATCAATTTAAAAAAAAAATCACTTGATTTGGAGTATGGATGAGGGAGAAAGGTCAAAAACAAAATCAACGTCATGGCGGCCCAACGAAGGCCGTGACAGCTATAGTGCCGTCAACCCACTACTGTTGTAACTGAGAGTAAAAACGGGCATCTAAATGGACTTTTCTGGAAAAACTCGAAGAAGAAACCCTCTCTAAAATCAAGTTTCCTACCCCAATTATGGACAGAAATAAAAAAAAAAAATACATTGTAAAATGTCCAGAATGCCCCTAAGAAAATCTGGTCAAGGGGGTAAAAATTTCTCCGAGCTGCTGCCCAAAGAAAGGAAATAGGGTTTCGGGAGGTTTTTGAATTGCCTAAATTGAAAATGCAATATTAAAATACACCCACAAGACCCCCGGAAGTTTCGGATCGGTCGTCACACTTTTCAAAAAAAAGTCGATAAATAGTACCAAGTACATTTGCACTAAAAATCTGCAAAACCTGGCAGTAAGGATTTTTCGGACAAATATGGATTTTTGAGGGCCAAGATGGCATTTTCTTGAAAAACACAAAGAAGAAACCTCCCTCAAAATTGAGTTTTCTATGTGACTCTCAAGGAAAAATGAAAAAAACACATTTTGAAATACCCGAAATGCCCCTGGAACAGAATATGGTAAAACTCCCTAAAAATGCTACTTAGAGTTTTTGTTTCATCAAGGATAGTGTTGTTTGCCAAAGTAAGTATGCAAGTGCATGTAATATGATAAAATAGATGTACCAACATGTCCTAAAGCTTCTTTACATACAATTAACAAGTTTTAGCATACAAAGCCTCCATAGTTGATAAAAGTACATTTTCAAGCAAAATATTGCACCAATTGAATACAAGTCCAAATATAAACTTGCTTGGCCCTTGGCCTCTGGCCTCATGTGTTACATGTCAAATGCATTAAAAGGAGTGTACTTATATACACTTTACATACGTAGAATCAAAGAATAAAAGTTTGATACATAAAGCTACCAAACCATCCAAGCTAATGAAATCTTCAAATCTTGAGTCCTGTACCTGAAATATACCTCAGTAACGTAGGGGTGAGTAACATAAAGCTACTCGTAGGAGATGAGCATGCATTGACCTAGCGTTTTACAGTTTTATCACCTTAGGGTGAAATATGTTAAAGGGGCTCATGCCACCTAACGTCTATGTCAAGTGAGACTCAGGGATCATCCTAAGCTACCTAGATCATTTCTAGCATAGTCACATTGTTCATGCAATTCAAATAACATGGAAACATGTTATACAAAGCAACTAGATATAGATTCTCAAAGTCTTCAACTTGAAATCCAAAATACAAAAACAACAAGAGTGGGTCATGCCACCTAACGTCTATATTCATAATGAATCTATAGGAACATTCCTAAACTACATTTGAACATTAAAATACAATTCATGATATCAATGCAATTTAACCGACAATGAAACTTCTAATACAACGCACAAAGCATGCTTTCACAAAGTTACATCTTAAGCTCAAAATAGGAAATCAAATAAGGAAGCACATGTTACGATATCATCTAGTTATCAACTTGAAATGAAATACGAAATCAAACAAAGTGGATACACGGACGTCACGCCGGATTAGACTGACAACATAGTTACTTTAGGGTTACTAGCCCATGGGTAACCTCCATATGTGCGTTCTAGACTATATAGAGGGATAATCCCCCGTACTAGAACCAAGTCCTAGACGTAACCAACAACGACATCCTCAAGTTTCTAAAATCAACAAATTGTGCAACAACGTATATATATCAACATGTATATATAAGATATCAACCATTTACTAAGCACAACCCAAATTTTGGAAACATATACAATACATGCTCAAAGTCTACAACTACTATGGCATGAAAGATGTCAAATACAAAGTGTGCAATTCCTTACACATAACAACAATATATTCAATAAGGAAAAAAATATTCTCATAAATATAAAAATAACAACTATGTTATCCAATACTCAAAAGTAATCAAGTGAACATACACCAAATCCAAATCCATGATTTAAATATAAAAACAACTTTCAAAATGCAATTAAATCAACGGAGTAATAAAATAGAATTTAATTAGACGTAAATAGTTAAATTCTCTAAATTTCAAGTTAATCCCAAATAACCTTAATTTAATATATATTGAAGGACATGTCATGGTCATCACATATATAACATCAAATGACAATTTAAGTGATTAAAGCACTTAAAACAAAATTAATCAAGCTAATTAATTAATTTCCTCTAAATTTTTAAACAAAACCAAATGTCCTCAATTTAATCTATGTTAGAGAACATGCCAAGGCCTATTTAAATACCACATTACAACTTGATTTCATGCTTGATACAACCATATGAATTAAACTTTCACTAAAGATAAATATTAAATAAAAATTGTAATTTTTAATCAAATGAGCCAAATTTAATATATGTTAACCGACATATCCAAGTATAATTTCCTAACATGTTACAATTCAATTCCAAGCCATACATATCCTTGAGTATTAAATCCTTTACAAAGAAATTAATAAAAATTAAATTCCAAGATTTATACAAAACATGCATACAAGTTGTATAAGTATATATAATCATCAATACAACACAAATATAATCCTAAGACACTCCCTACCTTAATTTGAGATGAAAATCTCAAAAGCTATCAAAACGAAACGGCTCCGAATCCGACGAAACTCCTAGGTTTTGTTGGGGACAACACGATCTATATGAATCTCCAAGAAGCCCCATGAAAATCCAAAATTGGCCTAAATCCCAAACTCAAAATTTGGTCAAAAATGGTTTCTAATAAGGGGTAATGGTAGAGCACGACGAGGCGAGTAACAAATGCAAAGGCCGAAGGATTTTCACTTAGGAAAAGTAGGTTAGAGGAGAGAGAAGATGGCAGCTCCATGGGCATCCATGGCTGCCTTTGGTCGTGCAAGGAGAGGAGGAAGAAGAAGAAAATCTGATTTTTTTTTCTTTAAGGCACCTATTTATAGTAAATCACAAAAAGTGCCCCGAAAGGGCCCCGTCGGGTCCGAAAAAGTTCATTTTGTGCAAACGTGCTCAAACGGAAAAATTTCGTGAAAAAAAAAAGATTCAAAATGAGAAAATATGAACAACGG